CTGTCTGCCATGCCAACGAAAATGTAACTCTCTTTTTACTCTTACCCTCCGATACATCGGCATTTGTCTGCCTGTTCGGCAGCCACGATTCGACGTTTGATCCTTGTCGTGTGCTAGCCAGTTGCCTGGTGGTATTTCCGGCGTCCGCGTGTGCCTGTTTGCCTGCGCACGTTGGCGTGCATTCGTAATTCCATCAGACGTGGAAAAATGGACATTACAGATCCGTCTTGAATTCACGCGTGGGCTCATAGTTTCACAAATCTGAGTATCTGACCGGCTCGACGTCTGTCCTTGCACTACACTTCGGTGGCCTCCAGCCACTCAGCAACCATCCAGTCTTACGTGTGTCTCTAATATCCTTTTCTCGAGTGGATAAAAGGGTCTCGTCGCTGTTGGTATGGGGACAGCGCACTTTTTTTTCTTGTAAACTAAAAAATAGAGAAGTCAGTATCTCATGGAATCGATAGTTGAAAGCCTTCCTATGCCAACCTGGGATTTTCTTTTCCCAGTCGTGATCCTGTCAAATGTCGCTTAATGGCGTTTTGGCCGTCTTTTGCTTCTTCTCCTCCGTCCGTCCGTCCCGTCCGTCCGGCATTGTCTGCATGCCTCGCCCCCTCAGCTCATGGCGATCACATGCCCATTGCCTGCCCTCGGCATCACATTGCCTTGCCATGCCATGCTGTCACCCGCCTAAGACGGTCGCTGGTTGTCAGCCGTAAAGCACTGACATTTGTTCGACTTCACCCGAAAAAGGGCACGAATGCAAAAAATGCACAAACAAACAACACATTGAGACACCCGAGGAGGGATTCGCTCCGGTCCATGTTCGAGACTGGGGCATCGCGAATCGCGAATCCACAGCCTCTGACTCATCTGATCTGCCACGAAGTGGTACGGGTATGGGTCCCAACGGGACGAGGTGCGGCTGAGGCGCCGGCCCGAGTCACAAACTGCCGTTTACGCTGGAGGCGGCAGACGTTGCGGAAAAGAGGGTCAGGCCGAACAACTTGAAACCTTGGCCTGCCTTGACTCGGTCGTGGGCTATTGTCCGGTTATGGTACATCAAGACGACCTGGCAACTTTATCTTCATCTACCGCAAAGGCCAATTAGGCCGAACGTTTTCAGTGACTGACGGCTGCAAGTGACACAATTTTATTGTGTTCAAGTCACTTTGCTACCCTTTGCATAGCGCTGGTCAATGCATCCATTAAATCTGTCATTTAATTAAGTCATTACTTTTTTACCAGCCTACAGAGAATGAAGGGCGATGAAACTAAAGGCATTATACAAATTTCACACAGAATTCATAGAGGCACATCCTTAGGTAGGAACTCGTATTTGATAAATCATTATTCCATGATTATTCTCCTCTTCGCAACTCTCAAATTCTTCAATGTGTTAAGGTGAGATTTGGGAAACTTGTAAATGTGACTCAATTTGTTTAATTATATGAGATGTATTCACCCAATTTCGTTTAAGGTGATGAAGGAATGGTAGAAGAAACATTTTCCCACAATGATTTTGAGTAGAGCTGACGTTTCCATTGAATTTCACATAGCCTTGCTTTCCCAAAAGTTATTCTCATCCCGGCTGGGGTGGACTGCAGTTTCGACCTGGCGTCGATCTTGTCAACACCACCAGCGGGATTCGAACCGTGACAGTGCAGAATGGACGCTTGACACGATAACCACTCGACCACATTGCCACGAGTGCCCTTGGGTCACAGGGCAGATGTGAATTTCAAGGAAGGCCATACCTTTTCCCATATCACATTGTTTGGCGGGATTGTCGATGAAGCAAACGTATTTTTGCTATAACAATCGACAACATTACTTACTTTTTCTATTTAAGTAGAGTTTTGAGAATACCAGTACAGCAGTTATATGAGATGAAAGACTGTAGTCTCGAAATTCTACTTAAATACCAAAATTGTTTAACTATAGTCCAACCTGGCTCTACTACCTTTTGGGCTGAAGCCCTGTTAGCTGGAACTTGGATTTGATTGCCCATTTTAATCTCAGCCTTAGACATTTTGATTCATTTTGCTCGGCAAATGGGGGCATGATCTCCTGTATTCTTTTCATGAGTCTATTTGATTAGTGCAAATTGCAGTTATTTTCATTCGGTCGCCAGTACCAAAGGCAGCTTGGATAACCTGCTTAGAAGTTGCGTTTGCTGGCAATTCTTTATCAACAGACCGGCCATGTTTCCCTTACCTTTTCCCCTGAAAAGTAATACTCTAGAAGTTTTCGAGGAATTTAGGCTTTTTTCTTATACTGAAGTTTTTAGATTGACAAGTACCTCAGTCCAATGACTTCGCGGTGGTATCGAAGACCGTGCTCTATTTTTCCTATTGACGCATGAAGATTGCTTTTAAGTCATTTTTATGATCGATTCAGCAACTTTCCTTACGGAATTTGCTAATTCTCGAGATTAGGCTAGAATCTGATTCCGCTAACTTTTTCACTGCTGAGGAGTTTGTGCTAGCCAAACTATTATATATAAAGTATCACAAATGTAGAATTATAGTATTCGGATAAATGTGAATCGACTCTATGAAGATCAGTACATTTTATTTTCTCTAATATTAATTATTCGTTAATAATTTCTCAATGTTGATGTGTCTAGATTCCTGGAAATCAAGATAAATTAAGACAGCTTTTCTGCGTAGATAAATCGCAAAGATGACCTAATACCGGAAGCGTTCACCAAATTTTACGGCTCGGGATAGCTTTTCTATGATTGACCAATACAC